AATTGTTGTCTCATCTGAGTGCCTGCGAAAAGTCGAGGCCAACAGAGAAAAATAACAATATAGAACACCCGGTGTGCCTGAGCTGGCAAGATCCTCAAGGGCAGTCGGCTGAATGAGAAACTCTATAAATATGGGCGCGATCGTTAAATTACCCAATGTAGCGGCTTAGAATAAAGATTTCTCAGTCCTTGAAGTTATCAACCAATCGCCGCAGAAATTCTTGGTAGTGTAAATAGCCCCTTGTAACCTCTTCAGGGCAAGCAACTTTGTTTTTATTTGGTTCACCCCAGCCATATCTTATCTGGTTTCTCACAGACTGTCATAACTTATTGCCATAAAAGAGTCGAATTTCTACGATAACCCCTCGATCAACCCATAAGATAATCAGTTTCAGAAAATAGCTACTGCAGCACTACATTTTATGTAACTATTTCCCAAGATATCTTATCTAATGCCCCTCCATATCAGAGCTTTCCTCGTTTGACATCGACCAAACCTTTTGTTTACATTTGCCCGTCTTTGCGGTAGTCGCGGTGCACCCATTACTCGTGTTCTTTTAGGTCAAAGATAATATTTTATTGTGGCTTTTATTAGTCAAGCTTTCGACCTGTTCGTTCGACTGCCTTGAGTGAAATATTAAGCCAATTACCTTACACAACACCGATCTGAAATGCTCCAGTCCAAATTGGGAAGCTATTATGAACTTGCTTTGCCATTTGCTTCCTACCCCCCTGCCCCTCCCACTCTTTTGTTTGTCAAAATCGGAATCGGATTCTGGCTCTGAATCTGTATCTGAATCAACGAATCATTAATATCCAATTACAGTTGGCCATAAAAGCTGTTCTAATTTGCACGCAGCGCGTCATTAATCATAAATCAAAACGCCAAAAGTGCTTGGCTACCATGGAGCTGTGGCCCATTCCTTTTATTAACTGCCGCGAGGCCGTAAGCGGCTTTTCTGCAACAGACGCCAGTCAGAGATCAGAGATCGCTGAACGCTGCTTGGCCAAGAGTCTTTCCAGCCTACGGAGCGATCCCAGATACAGAGCGTGTGCGCTCAAGTAGTTTTCTTGGCGGGTGCGCAGGCGTTGAGCTTTTGTCATATACTCTACTCGCATATACTCGCATATGCAGGTCGGAACCAACGAACGTACTTGTAGCCAAAGTCACTTTCAGCTTCAGTTCGGTTGGGTTCTGTGTTTCTCATAATTTGTGCCCAAATTTAGATGCTTTTTGGGGGCCACGTGGGCGAGCTGTGAGCAGAAAACCGACAAAAATTTTCGTAATCGCTCAATGAGAGCTGGTTTGCTTGCCTTATTAGCATATGTGGCTGCCTGACTTCTTGGATCTTGAATTTGGTAGTAGCTGCTTGAGCATTGAGCACTGCATAGGTCAGTAATCTTTCCCAATCAGCTCAGCTGATTCACGCCAAGATCTCTGCCCACCCGCACTTGTGGATCTCGTCGTTGTCTGGGCCTTCTGGGGTGGGTGTGGTGAACGGTGAGTGGATGTAACATGAGCATGAACATGAGCGCTGCCTGGCGGGCTACCGATGTGTTATTGACACAGTTTCTGGCCTCGATCAGAGTCTAGGGTGCTGGGTTCAGTTCATACTGCTTCACATTGTGTCATTCCTCGAACCATGAAGTACTCTCAAAGGCATTTGGCCAGAGATTGAGGTGGGCTGCTGCCTGTGCTGCCTGCCGTCTGCCGTCTGCCGCCTGCCAGATAGCCAACAGCTGAGCTAGCCATCCGGCCCGGCCGAGTTGATTAACTTGATTGGTAACGCAAAACCGATTCGCCAACACACGTCTCTCAATAGATCGCCGACCGCCTGGCTTAAGAATCCGGGGGCAAGGCAAGGCAAGCGTGGAGCGGCTTACCTGCTAAGTAGCTGAGCTTCTGAGCAGCTAAGTAGCTTTCCATGTTGTCCATGCGGCTGGGCGTTGCTCCAAGGACGGCCATTCATCCGCCGGGTGCGCTTGCACGCTTGCTTAGGTTAGGTAATAACTCTCGAGTTCAAACTAACCGAACACCTTTCTTTTTCCAGTTTCGATGACAGCAACAACTCATCCCGCCGACGCAAGGAGCGCTCGAAGCGCTCGCATCGCAAGTCGCCTGCCGCCAGTCGGCGGCAGCAGCACAAGTACCGCTACAGGGATGAGACCTCCCACTCAAGCTCCCGCCGCCGGCATCGTGATCGCGCCAAGGACGAACGCGACAGCGGACGCAACAACCGCCAGTCGCAGGCTAAGGTAAAAACTTTTCATTTTATACACACCACACATAGCAAACAAGTGAAAATTGTAGGCAGGGCAACAAAAAAAAAAAAAAAAAGAAGGGAAAACCAAAAGAAAATTACAAACTAAAAACGAAAGCTAAAAGCAAAACAAAATGGTAAAAGAACAAATTGAACGGACAGATACAACTAATACGACTACATTGGACCGATTTCAGTACGTTTCTATATCCCTGTGCATTGCCAGAAGCTGTGCTACTCGATTGATAAGTGCTAGAAAATCGCTTGTGTCCAATCCCCCGCCATGCTGTTCTTCAAGCGGTATCTTGAGAAGTCGCAGCAGGTGGCCAATGACTTTGAGAGCTCCCAGATCCCGTGCTACATAAAGATGCGCGACCTGCCAGCGCCACCGGTCGTAGATCACTGTCGCGACCTCATCTTGGCCAGCTGTCCACTGCGCTTTATGCAATACACCGAGGATTGGATAGTGGTCGAGTACTTTGCTGATCACGACAGCGATTATCTAGTAAGCGTGTCCCTTCGCAGCCAGCATGTTGTGTTATCCATTGATCGTTTGTCGCCTCTTGACTAACCCAATCGCTCACATGTTGCCCGCCCGCCCTACAGATGTATGTGAATGTTGTTGTAACCCCGATTCTTGATTACCAGTCGAGTGGATCGGTGAAGTGACCATCGCGCTATCACGATTGTTCGCACTCGATCGCTCGCTCTCCTCTGTCTTATCTTTGCGGCGTTGAGCTAAATTTGTCGTTAGATGTGTCACATTGCTTTGGTTCTTGGTCTTGTGGTACAGTGATTACATGAGGTATTTGCTGTAATCAGTGCTCTGGAATGAGACTTTAACTGAATATGGAAATTATTGTTTCAGGGCTTCAAGAGGCCGGGCACTCGAGAAATCGAGGGGCAGCATGAGTTGTATGTTGCATGTGGTCGTTGATAAGATAGTACTTAGCGCAAAGTAACTTGGTTGAGCAAGGCCTTTAAAGTGTGTTGAAATTCGGAATTTTAATTAGAACATGGGGAAGTATGACTTCATTTCATATAGCAATCAACAAGTCTTTGCTTGCTAGTACTTATAAACTTGCTATTTATTAGGGCTTGTCCTTAAAATAATTGAAATAAAACAAAAGACACAGTAGCCGTTTTGAATATTAGCATAATTTAACAAATTAACTTTAGGAACTATTAATTTAGTTGGAATTAAGAAATCGAAAAAAGGAAACACTGCCAAAGCGAGAATCATCAGTACTAAAATGGTACCTAAAAAGAGCACTTAAGTGAAACCTTGGCCATATATTTGTGAAAATTAAGCAATTTCTATGCGAACTTCGTGCCATCTCGCAGTATGAATAACAGCTCTTAATTAAACAAGATCTTTATAGTTCCCATTCACTGTTGGTGGTTCTTAATAGTTTCCCCCGTGTCCATCACACCCCGCTGCTCTAGTTATTTTTGTTCAATTGATCATTTGACATTAACTCGTTGACGGCGACCAGAGTTTTCTGCTCTTGCTCTGCGTTGCGTTGCGATGTGATGAGATACTGCCGCTGCTGCTGCCGTTGATGATGCGGCCTGCTCCTCGCCAGCTTTGCCAGTTGCCCATGTCGCCGCCAATTAAGTGGGCTGAGTAACTCGCATAGAATTCCCTCCGCGTCATCATTCAGCGCCGCCAAGATTCAGTACTTTCGGCAGTTGGAGCAGCAGCTCATCATCGGGCATGCGGACAAGACGGCGAATGGCGGCTGTGGTCTGGAGTCGGATCTGGAGGAGCCGGAGGAGGGCTTCCTCGGCGACGGAGAGAGCGTGGCCATAACCCGCTGCCTGCTGCTAAAGCGGCAGCGCAACCACTTCGATCTGGTGGCCCTTTGTGATATGCCCGTGGACAAGTACGCTGGCGACAATTGGATCGTCGAGGAGTACTTTGTGGACCACAATGACGACTATCTAGTGAGTCACAATTATTTAGATTCAGAGACTGTCGGCGAGTATCTTTCCTCTTGTCTTGTGTCTTGCATGGTTGGACCTTTTTTTTTGCGCTCCCACATGGAGACATACATTTTAGACCAAAATAACAGCACTGCTCAAGAATATCTTAAAAATCGTTGGAGACTATTGAATATATGAATTAACAAATATTGTTTAGATTTTGTATCCTTCAAATCTTAAAACTTGTACTGTAAATATAATTTAATATCAAGTTCATAATAATTAAAAAATAAATCTTGACAAACTTTTTGGAAGTCGTGATACTAGGCAGATGATTGATTGGGATTGCTATTATTTTGACCGCAGCTATATACACTGAATTTACACAGGGCCCACTCTCCTCGTCTGTGTACCACCTTTATATATATTTATTTATCGGTTCTGAGAGCGACGCCTTGGGGATTCCTCTGCGTGCTCTGCGCATGTCCCTTCGAACCATGGTCTTTGGTGCGGTGCACAGCTGATGGTTTTTCTCGGAGATGCGCGCGCAGCTTCATCCGGCGGAAAACATCTTGTTGGGCCGTTTATTTGCCATTTGCTCTAAAACCATTGGAAAATTATAAATACACGCGCCGCAGAAAGTCAGCGCGCTCTTCTCTGCCTCGGGCAGTTTTCGGCTGAGAATTTTCAAATTCGAGGAAACCGAAACAGATTGAAATCTTCGTTTGTTGGCTGTGTGTCGCCGCCACTGCTGCCATATAAACTATATATCGTCGCCAGCAGCGTTGTCGTCGCTTCGTCTTCGTCGTGTAACGGTACGGGGATCCCCCCCTTTCTCGGCGCCCCTTTTTTCCCCCCAGTCAGTCCCAACGATCTTATATCGATCGCCTCCTTTCGCGCACTTTGTTTATCGATATGTGTGTGTGTGGGTTTTTGTGTTTTTGATTTCTCTTCTTTTTTGTTGGCTCAGGAACACCAAATAATCGAATAGAACAATATTTAGAGGTACATACTGGGCGTTTGTGCAATATAGAAACGCATTTTAGCCCGAGAGGAAGGTAGAACAAACGCAATCCCAAAACAATTGCTGGGCACCGTGACATAATCAGCCAAAAAAAAAACAAAAAACAAACCAAAGACTAAGAACATTTAAGTGCTTTAAAAATAAAACAGTACCAGCGGCAAGAACAAAATTGTCGAATACAAAAAACCTCAAACAAAACAAAAAGAGTGTTAAGATGTGCGCGATATTCGTCGGTCTGAATTTGTTTAAACAAAACACGATGCAAGATACCAGAGCCAAACTGTTTTATTGACCCCCCGCCAACGGTGGCGAGTAAATAATTCGGAATTATATTAAATGGGATAAGAGCCAGCCGCCAACCAGCCTAGCAGCTGTAAAACGTCCAAAAAGTTGATAGTGAACTTTGCACTTTTCCATCAAGCTTGCAATTACCGAGACGAAAGATATTTTTAATAGACATAGCGGATGGATAGAGGAGCCTAGTGCAACAGTCACTCATACACAGACAGAAATTAAGACTGGTTGAGAACTAAGGCACACAATTAAGTACATTTTATTTGCAATCATCGAAGATGTAAAGTTAAAATGTAATGAGTTAGGTCTTATTGATGTAAAAGTAAACTTAACCTTCTGAAGAAGGAAATTAATAAACTTAATTTAATTTTGTCACTTTTTTATGTTAGGTACACATTAATGAATGAATATATCAATATTTTTTTTTCTGTGCACTCGGAGGCGAAGGAGAAGAAGACAACGCAGCGGCCAAGCAAATCAAAACAAAAACTCAAAACTAACAAATGGAGCACACACGTGTGTGTCCGTTAGTGTGTGTGCCACATAGATACGAACTATATCTATATGTGCGCCACAGATCGGCGGGGATTATTCATCAGGCTGCCACATCATCATCATGTTGATCTCCGCCGCTGCGGCGCCTCCTTCTGCTGCCCTCCATCCTCAACTTTCCGCTTAGCTGGCGTTTTCTATACTTTTCGAAAGCTATTTTCGTAAGGCTTGCATTTATATTTAGTTGCCACAACAAACTCATGGCGAAAATCCAAGACACAAACTTGTACATGATACAATTTTGGCCATATGATGCGAGCCAAAATAAAAGTCAACTGGGGTGGAAAACTTTTCCCCTTAGTTTTTCCAACACGCATGTGCGGTTGTATGTGTGTGTCCGATACAGTGAAAGCTAAGCCAGAGATCAACGAAGATGTGAAAATTAATGGAAAACTGAAGCGAATTAAAAATGTAATCAAGTCGAATGTGATTATCGGAGATCAGAGATGAATCTGTTAAACGAGGTCTGTGAATTCAATTTGCGATGCATCTACGCCCCGGCCGAGGTTTCACTGTACAGGCACCAGCGTCACACGTACGCTGTGTACTAGGTATAACGCCCGACTGCGCAAATTTACGTGCGTCGTCGTCTATTTGTTAAAAATAAGAACAGATTTCGAACGGAACACAGAAAGGCAGGGAAAGAGACGCCCAATGAACCCCATCGAGATATCACACATCAGCCAAAACGATTTCTCCAGGCATATTCATATGTTCACATCGCAATATATCTAGGGCAAGGTGCAGGTCTTTTGGCTAGAATCGCAAAGGGGTAGAAGGAGGTGTTTCGAGGAGGCGGCGCCGCGATCTATGAGCTCATTGCTGTTTACGATTTGTAATTTGTATATGCTCTATATACCAAAACAAATTGGGGGTGCTATATGCTTGTACTACAACCACATATAAGTCGGATGTATATGGGCGCCAAAAGGAAAAGTCTTTGGTCGAATGACGACCATTGGTTCAATTAGTAAGTCAAGTCGCCGCCGGCCATTTGCCAAAATCCCAATGAGACATTGACATTGAGCGTGCGATCGATTGTTCCGTTCCTATCCGATCCGATCCAATCCGAACAGAAACAATACGAACTGATCCGATCTAGTGCAGGTTTCCTTTGCGGCCAGCACTGTCAGCCGCGCGAGTCTCGCCCAGCTAGTCGAACCCAAAGCAATTCGCGGGAGTCGCCAGTGCATTGTTAGATAACCGAGTACTTTTTTCCCACTGGGACCCAGAAAGCACACTGACTAGGACACGGAGACACAATCACCAATCACCCAGCCTGCGGAATGTCCAACGAACTCAGCGAACTGATCGCCCTCGGCTGTCCGGATCTCACGGCCCAGAAGCCGGAGGGCGCCAGCACCAAGGTGGAGTTGATTCTCAACACGGAGCGCCGCCTGAGCATTAAGCAGATGACGGCCACGGATTTGGCCGCTCTACGGGCAGCAGCCGCCGCCGAAGCAGAGGCCAGAACTCGGGCCCAGGCGGAGGCGGAAGCTCGAGCCATCGCCCAGGAACAGTTGCGCCAGGCCCGCGAGGCCGAGTCCAAGGCAAGGGCACGTGCTGCCCTCGAGGTGCAGGCCCAGTTGCAGCGGGTGATGGAGAGCGAGAAGCGCAGGCAGAAGGAGGAGGAAGAGCAACAGAATAAGCAAGATGAAGAGGAGGAGGAAGATGAGGATGAGGATGAGGAGGAGGAGGTGGCCAAAGGTTCTCTGCCCACCAACTCAGGACCAAGGGAGCGCGTTGCATCGCTGCCCGGCAACATCGATGATGCCATGGAGATGCACCTGCTTAGCTTATCGCAGCCCAAGGCCTTATCCAAGGATGACTCCCCGCCCAAGAAGAGCACCTCCCACCTGGCCGACTCCATTGAGCTGCTGCGAATGCAGCGGGCTGCCCGCAGTGCCCGTTCCCGCAATCGCAGCCGCGAGCGCGAGCGATCCATTTCGCCAGACCGCAATCACGAACGAAGCGCTGCTCCCGATCGCCTCCAGAGTTCGGCGAGCATGAGCAGTCTGGAGTCTGCCAGCGTCAGTGCCTCGGCTTCAGGCTCACGACAGCCCAGCAAGGCAGCCAGTCGACGTGGCAGCACCTCCAGTGCCTCTGGGGTGGAACCACCTGCGACCGCCGCTCCACAGTCGACCAAGTTTCCCCTTGCCAAGACGGTATCAGCTCCGAATGTAATGAATCGCCGGCGTAGCAGTCTCACCTCGCTCTTCCCCGGACCCTCGCCTTTGGTGGCACCCGAGCCATCTCTGCATACGGATCCCGATCCAAAGGTTCAGCAACAGCTGGAAGAGGAGCAGCGGCGGGGGCGAATGGACGATGGTTACCGTGAGATACCCACCGGAAAAATGGTGCATCGCACCAAGACACCGCCGCCAGTGGGCACCAATCTGGGAGTGAGCTTAAAGCGAGTGACCGCGCCCAGTGGATCCATAACCATTAAGCCCAAGGAGTCGCCCATGCTGGGAGTCGTTTTGCGTAGAGTGGAGAAGAAAGTAGTGCCCCAGAAGAGCATTCTGGACGACGATAAGCCACTGTACCACTTCTCCATTGTGCGCAGCGACCACAAGGAACATGTGCCCGACAAGAAACCGAAACCCAAGCCTGCTCCTCCAGCTGTCAAGCCAAGTCCCGGTGGCATCCTCACCGGACCTCAAGTAGTCCGCACCGCACCCAGGCAACCAGTGCCCGTCAAGCCGCAGCGTCCCATGCCCGGCGTGCCCATTACAATTACCAAGATCGAGGGCGACAAGATCATCATCATCAAGAAGATCATAGTGCCGAAGAACAGTAAGATACCGGAGCAGTATCTGCAGGTTGGTCGTCGTCCACGTCCACATTCACGTCCTCGTCGTGTTGGTGATCGCTCTGTGGTGTCTATAGCTCGTCTGGTGTTTGTTGTCTCCTTCCTTCTGTGTTCTGTTCGAAATCTGTTGTATAGAATTTACCTCGATATTAGGAACACTTCCAGCTAGCTTTAGTTATAGGTTTCTTAAAACAGGAAGTGGTAAGATTTTTTTTTTTTTGTATTCGATTAAAATTAAAACTTAAACGCACACCACACATATCACTAGTCAGAAAATCGCGACTCAGCTGCTGAATCAAATTTGCAAAAACAATCTGAATCAAGAGATTCGACTGAAATCGGATCTCTAATTCGAAGAACCCAAACGGTTTCCAGTGCGCGATCGTTTCCTATAGATGAGTGAAGATGCCGGCAAGTCAGCTAATACAGTGCCTCCAACGGTTTCCTCCTCCTCCGCCGCCGTCGCAGCGTCGCCGATTCTGAGAACCAAAGAGGAATCCCAGCCAGCCATGCAGAAACCAACGCCGCCGCCGGCCAGTGGTCAGCAATTCTTCCAGGTGGTCTCCCCGCAATTCGCCTCGGTGCTGTCTTCCAGCATCCCGGAGAGCAAATGTGCCGTGCGTTCACCCATATCATCGCCCTTGGCCATCCGCAAAAGCCGTCCACCTCTGCTGCCGGCGAGTCCCAAGTCCACGCCTCCGCTCCCGCGGAAGCACCATCCGCTTGCGTACAATGCGGCCACGGGAACCATCAGTAGTGCCTCGGCAGCAGCGCTGCCTTCTCGTCTCATGGCCACCATCGCCTCGAGTCCGGCTTCGAGTATATCGCTGTCTTCCTCCAGTTCACCTTCATCATCGCCACCACCGCCAGTGCCATGTCGGGCTCCAAAGAATGCCAATGCCAATAAACCTTCTGCTCCGTCCAAAGAGATCAGTCTGGACAAGTTGCTGCAACAGCAACAGGAGCTGGAGGTGAAGTCGGCCGCAGCCACAAACAGCGCCAAGTTGGATGCGAACTTCTACGATGCCGAGATCGAGATGATGAACAAGTATCTGAAGAGTTTGCCCGACTACAGCGAGCTGGACAGGAAGCTGCACCAGGAGTTCCAGGAATGCGAAGATCTCTACGACCGGATCAAGCGCCAGCAACAGCCGCTGGCCAAGTCCAATTCGCAGCAGTCCGTGACGAAGGCAGCGCCAGGGTCAGGAGTCCAGCCTACCGGCTCCTCCGGTCTATCCAAGTCTTCTTCAATCAACTTTGCCCAAAACCACTCAACTAGCAGTAGAGGAGCTGCCCCGCGCATGGCATATCCCTCCATATTCTCGCAGTCGGGAGGCGAACCAAAACTGCAGCGCAGCATTTCCAGCTCGAATATGCCGCTTAGTGCGCCGACACCCTTGCGTCCGCTACCCGCAAAGAATGGATTGCAAAGTGGTTCCAATCTGTCGCTCAACAAACAGTTGATGAACGAATTCTGGAGCGAGAATCTTACGAGTTCACAGAAGCGTCAGACACCCAAGCGCACCTTCTGGAACTACGAGAAGATCTGCGGTGCGCAACTGGGCGATGCCGGGCAGCCCTTTAAAGTGGATGCCAAGACGGCCAAGAAACTGGCCATATTCGATCCCACAGTGGCGGAGGCGGCGCAGAAGGAGCTGCAGCGACCTCAGCAGCCGCAGGTCGGTCAGCATTATCCACACCACAAGCTGCAGAAGAACGCCTCGCTGTCGCACCTGGATCTCAAAGTGCGTCAGGCGGTGACCAAGGACGATCTCTACAAGCTGATCTGCAACGAGCAATCTCCTTCGGCGGGCACGAGTTTCGTGAGCAGAGTGCCGGTGAAGCAGCAACCGCCAGCGCAGCAGCAACAGGTGCTGCCTAAGAGCGTTTCCATGACGCATGTGCCAGGTGGTGGTGGTGGTCAACCCATGGCATCAGCTCCTCTGTTGAGGACTTCCAGTCGCACCCACATACCCTGCTACATGAAGAATCTGCCCTCGTTGAGCAGGAGCACCTCGAACTCTGCGATACTGATGACGCAACCGCGCAAGGAAGCTCCATCCAAAGAGCCACCTAAGACTGCTGCTCCACCGACTGTCAGCAAACCCAGTGGAGTTTTGAAAAGCTCCAGCAGTTCCTGTGTCCCATCGCCTCGCTGTGCAGCCGCCTTCTTCCGTCGGCCGCAGGAGTCCAGCCATGCGCAGCAGCAGCATCAACAGCCCCTGCCGCAACCGCAACACGTGGCGCCCATCGAGGAGTCCGGCCCAGGGGATTCCGCCTCTCTAGAGCGCAAGTCGGAGAAGAGCAACAGCACGATAAGCACGAGCAGCTTTACGGTGACCAACTGTTGCACCACTCACCTGCCGCAGCTCTCCAAGTTTACCTCATCGTTCCACATTGCCCCCACCAACACGGCCACAACCACAGCGTCAGCAGCCACACCAACACCAACTGCAGCCGCAACACCAAGCGACCACCACCAACAGCAGCAGCAGCAACAGCAGCAACAAAGTGGCGCAGCGGTGGCGGCGATGGCTGCCAACTTGGAGGTGCCAACATCGTCATCGTCGTCAGCGGCCACAAAGCGCCAGAAAGATGTCGACAACAAGCTAGAAAAATGCCTGAACGACATGCTAAAGTTGAAGACCAGCAACAACAGCAAAAGCAATAATAATGCAATCATGTCGCAGTCGCTGACAGGGGAGCACAAAGACCCGAAGACTGCAGTCGAAGGCCCCACGAACAGCAGCAGCAGCACCGGCAAGTATGTGGGTGATTCTCAGATCCCCGTGCCAGTGCAGCTCTACGATCCGCAGAAGCCGCTGCTCCAACAACAGCACCATCAGCAGCAGCAGCAGCAACAAAGGATTTGCTATCCCATAGGAAAGTCGAACTCTACCTCACAGCTGCCCATGGGTGGCTATCAGCGATTGTTGCAGCAGCAGCAGCAACAGCAGCAGCAACAAAATCAGCAGCAACAGCAGCAACAACACCAGGAACAGCAGCAATATCCGCAACACAAGCGACCCTTCCTGAACTGGAATAGCTTTGCATGTTCGGCAATGAATGGAGCAAGTGATCCCTTCATGCAGCAGCAACAGCAGCAGCAGCAAATGTCTGCCCAGCAGCAACAGCATCTGCCCCACAAGCTGCAACAGTCGTACTCCTCCTCGCATGTGCCCAAGCAGGCGCCCAAATCGGGACTGGCCATGTTTCTGCAGAAGAACACTAACAAGGAGAACAAGTTTGGCCAGCCGCTGCAGCACCAGCCGCCCGGAATGATGCCCCAGATGTACGGCTACCAGGCGCCCCAGCCGCAATCCAAGATGGGCTATCCCCGCACCGGTGCCCCACTGACGCATTCAGCCTCCTTCAGTTCCGCCCAGAGGCCTACAGCCCTGCAGTTCCACCAGCAACATCAGCAGCAGCAACAACAGCAACATCAACACCCGCAGCATTCCAACTTTGGGCTGGGCATGATGAGTAGGAATTATTATAATTTGCCCAAGCAGCCAGAGCGCAAGCCGCTGCAGACCTTCGATCCGTATGCCTATCCCAAGCCGAATCAGATGCAGCCGGTCAAGTACCAGCAGCAACAGCAACAGCAGCAACCGCATCCGCATACGCAGTTTCTGAATGCTTCCGCTGGAGGTGGAGGTGGCGGTGCCGCTGGGCTTCAATACGATCCAAATACAAATACGCAATTGTTTTACGCGTCGCCGGCATCATCGTCATCGAACATGCAACCGCAGCAACCACAACAACAGCAGCAACAGCAGCAGTCGCAGCTACAACAAAGCAATTCTGTCATATTCAATCACTCAAGCCAGCAACACCAACCACATCAACAACAGCAGCAGCAGCAGAATGAAATGTCCAAGTCCGCATTGGGACTGCATTTCATCGAGGTAGATTCTATTCGTCAAACTTATTTTTGTCTTGTGTTCGTTCGTGTTCGTGTTGCACATGTGTTTGAAAAATATGCCCAAATGCCCACTAACAACATGCTACCGCTTCCAAAGAAAGTTTTCCCCAAAATAGCCGGCTGACTCATCGTTGTTGGGCTCCAAAAGGCCTCCGACGAAGACGATGATGACGATGGCGATTGCCATTGCCCCCCTGTTTCTGTTTCTCTAGTTGCCCTCGCTTTGCCACTTTGCTACTTTTTCGCTGGCCCCCAAGTTTGTACTTCCTGTGTACTTTCGGTGGCGTTTCAAGTGTGAAGCGTTCCCAAGAACAGAAACACATTATTGCTTACCTCCAACCTTACAAACGCGATCCCCTTGGCGTCTGCACCGATCTCTTGGCCTCTTGGCAGGCTCTTGCACTTGTCGACATCGACAACATTGCACAATCGACCGAAGACTGCGGGAAATTCAATGTCAATTTCCTCAGCGGGACGAGCGCTATAAATAATCTTTGGCTACTTAATTTATGTGTGTTTTTTACTTGATTGCAGCTCTTAAACATTTTGTAGTTTTTTCATATTTTCTAACAGCTTCCAAGAATTTAATTTGTTTAAATAATTTAATGCCAAACTGCGACCTCAATGTAATTGTTTTAATAATTAAAAAACACTAAACAGCACGGAGTGGTTCAGCAGATACGAATGTCTAAAAATATGTTCCCCCAAGACCTGCTCTCGCGCTCTCCGACTGAAATGACTGATCGATCCGGAGACTGACTCGACTACTGAATACCCTCGCTCTGGGCGAACTCCTTATGCCCTTTCCATGAACTTAATGTTTTGATTGACTACAAGTATAACAATATTTTGCCATGTTCCTCAACGATCAGTGGTTATCATTTTTGGGATTATTATCCTCCCATGATTAGGGTACATAATAACACCTCAATTCATGGCTCTTTTGCTGTTAGTTTTTTGGCTTCTTTCGGTCGCAGCAAACAATAATAGCAATGGCAACGGGAAGAGGCGCACACTCAGTTAGTTCAGCTCTCCCGCGGATCTTATGGACGTGCTCTGTGCTCGGTCTTTTCGACACCGCCGATATTTTCAATCTTTATAATTAGTATTTGTGGCGTGCGCTTTCGTTCATGTTGCGCTGATTTCGGTTTGTTTGTTTCGACCAATACGCAGGCAATCGGGAGCGCACTGTGAAATTGCCTGGGAAATCGGAAAGGAAACGAAATTCAAATCCATTATTGGATGGCTCTAAGTGCGTGAATGTGAACGAAAGGGGATCTAAAGTGCAGTTTTGATGGAACATCAAATTTGAATTTGTCGCAATGGCGGGGGCGACTGCAAGCTGCCTTTGTTGTGTGTGTCTATTTCCGTCGAAGCTGCCGAATCTCTTACAATTTCAATTATTTTTACACATAAATACGCTCTGTCTATATTAGATCTCTACGTACATATTGCCACTCTGAGAACGTACAATAAATACATTTCTATTTTTTTTGTCTACAACAAAATCATGCTCCCAACAAATACCAGAAATCAGTACAATTAATGAAATAGACCAAGTCGGAAGAGCACGATCCTCCGTATCCGCCAAAAATTCAAAAGGCGGACAGAAACACCCACCCACCCACAACCAGCCCCTTAAAGGCGTTAAGTATTATCCGATTGTCGTCATCGTCATAGCAGACGAGACCCACGCGAAAGCGACCGCAGAGGAGGAGATCTGAGATTCGAAAAAGCCAAGAAATGGCCACATTTCTGAATCGTTTTCATCGTGAAAAAAGCGAAAAGATATTGCCAACAGCGGCAACGGCAACGGCGGCGGCGGTCGGTGAAAATGGGAAAACAGCTGACGCGGAGGCGGTACAGCGTCGTCCGCAGCGGCGGTACATGCGCAGCGCCACCGCCGCCAGCGTCACGCAGCTGCTCTCTGAAAGCTGCAACAGTCTGCTGCAGCGCTTTCGACGCAATCCAAGCGAACGACCCGATAATAAACAGCAGCAGCAACAGCAACAACAGCAGAAACAGCAACAGCAGCAACAACGCAATCGGTAATCGATGCAAAAGAAATCAAGCAAAAGATTTATAATTTATTTTTAATTTTGCGTGCCTTCTTTTACTTTCGTCGCCTTTCGTCAAACGAAAAACTCGGTCAAAACTCGCTCACTGCTTTTCTTTCCCTCTATTTTCATTTCCACTCGCCTCGGGATTTTATTCTCTGCCTGTGGCGTTGATTTAAGCAGAGTGGTCAGCGCGTAATTGCGAGTTTAGTTGCAGCGCGTCACTCCGCGGTCGAAAGTATCTCGCGATCGGATCATTTCTTCGTTTCGTATATTGCATTTCCCATCTCTCGGCCAACTGCCGCCTTTTGGCCAACGAGAAGAAGGCCAATTATGTAAACGACGGTACGAGTGCGTTTTGAATCGCGTTGAACTCGTCAGTTGAACTTCCAGTGGTAGTGCGACGATCTTGAAAAGTGTGAAAATCTCTTCGTGTTGGCCATAAATCGTGAATGATTGCCAGGGGTGAAAAGATTTGAGTACTGCCTGCCTGCCTGCAGCAGTCGAAATTTGATTTATCACTTTTGATTGCCAGTCATAAATCAAATAGAGTTTAACAGAGCTCCACAGGCAGTCTTATTTGCACTTAATGCCTCTAATTGTCAATCCTAAAGTGTCAGTAATCGCTTGGGTGATTAATACGTTGAAAGTGAAGGGGAAGATAGTTGCTTTAGGACTTTGCTTTAAGGGCAAATCTGGTTACTTGCATTTCCAGAAAACCTCGAAATGTTTACCAAAATTTACGTTTTCTTATAGGGCCAACAAAAGTTCAATATTTTCGCCAAAAACTTTTGGTTGCACAAAAAAGCTTGTTTTCCCCAAAAGCTTTCTCACAGCTGTCTGCATTCTCTGAGTGATTCTCTTTATTGGCTGAATTCCTCAAATTTCTCTTCAGCTGTCTGCGGGGAATACCAAATAAATTCTCTAGTTCTACTTTATGTCTGCCGATTTCTTCCTCATTACGCATGACTATAAAGTATGCGATCTCTCTTTTTCGCTAGTCTTTGTTTAACTGCAATTGCTTCTTTATTATTTATATGCGAGCACGTTTAAAATAAAACGTAAAATGTTTCGCTTTGTTCTTTTCATTTCTTTTCCGCTCAACCAGCAGCAGCAGCAGCAACTTTATTGTTCTTCTTGTTGACTTGTTGTTTTGTCGGCGAGAGTTCAAGGCTTTTTCCGCGAAGACTTTCGATCATTTCCCGGTTTTGCTGCTAACCTGACGGAAATACAAAAGTGTAATTGCACAAGTTACAAAGTGAAATGCATTCCGGTGAAGCGTGCGCTTCGCGTGCGTTTTAAAACGCCCAGCTGCTGGCAGACAAAAGAAGCATTCTCCCCTACGAAGCGAATCGCATCCAATATACTATCTCCCATACCGCCCATACGCCCACTCGTCTACATTTGTTATTTGCTGCTCTCCCGCTCTCGCTCGCACGCTCTCGTCCCCTCTCGCTCTGGCCAGTGCGCAATATTTTCACACTTTTCACAAAAATAAAAACGATTCCTCAATATTTTCTGGCTGCCGCCCGCAGCAGCATTATTTCCTTCATCTACTCCGGTCTTCGCCTCATCTGCCGTCGTCACACGAATTTTCCGAAAATTTTCCCAAAGTTTTCCTCAGTTAAATTTTGGTCCGTGTCGTGGCAGCGCGTCCCGTCTGTCGTTCGTCGCGAACCGCGCGGATAAACGCACCCAGATCGACAAATAAGAACAAAAAAAATTGATTCGAATACCCACCACCACAACTCATTGTTTTGTTGGGCTTCTCTTTCAAGTGCGGCAGCCATAGCCGAGGATCCCAAAGACTCCGATCCCCGACGCAGCCACTCCAGGACCCCAACGAATGACAGCAATAATAATAATAATAATAATAATAATAGTAAAGGAAAAGGTGGATCCAGTAATCAAAGCCAAAAGCAGAGCAAACGTCGCCGCAGTTCGGACAAATCTTCGGCCAGCCGGAGACATCCGGAAGGGGAAAGGGAGCGGGAAAGGGAACGGGAGCGGGAACGGGAACGAGATCGCGATCGCGAAATGGGCGATCGCCACAGACGCTACTATGCTGGCGGAGGCCTGGGAAGCACCACAGGATTGGGCTACCATCCCAGCAGCAGCGGGAGCAGCAGCAGTGCCGCCTTGATGGGTCGCTACCAGAAGAGCTCCACCACAGCCAACGCCCTGGACAGACTGCGCACCCACTTGAGTCCCGTGGGCGGCTACTATAAGCCACTCATTCGAGGATTGGGAGGCGGAAGACGTGACCGCGACCTAGACGATGTTAGTATCTTTCAAACCAAACAATGCCAGCCAAAAAAACGAGCGGTGTGCAAACCAACGGAGACCCAGAACCAGAACCAGACCCATACCCAGATTGAGATCCCAAAATGAGTCACTGCCTGGGTATTTCATTTTGGAGACCGAAAGAAATCGTCTCACCTGTCACCCGTGAGTCAGCGAAAGAGTGAATGTGGCTGCCCTAAATGTGTGACATCTCTGACGGTGGTGTATATGCATATATACCTATATGTTTGCCCAAACAGTGGTGCACTAAGGCTACCCGGCTACCCCTATTGCCACATACAATACTACATGCCTATAGAAAGTTTCTTCCTACACAGCTATATGTGCAGATATTATATTAGGGGCCCACACGGGCGCGTTTTATAGCGCTGCTTCGCTTCTATATGCTCATTCTATATCTTCTATAGCTTCATTCTTGCCGTGTGCGTTTACGTTTTCGAAATGTATTTTCGATTCCAACATCTCGGCGCTTTTCTCTATTCCGCTATATTTGTATCTCTCTGAACGCCACAGATGTGTATAAAGCTATTCACAATTTTCTGCCGTTTTATATATAAACTTTGAAGGTCGTCGCGCCGTGGACTTTTTGTTTAGATTTCGCTAGGCATTCTAAATAAAAATAAAGGGTATCCCCCCGCAAACTACCTCTCCCTCCGAAAGGCCGAAAATACATGGAGAAAGTTGGATAGAGTGGATAGCGTAGAGTGGCTTTAATGGTAGTGAAATTGTGCGAAATGAAAAGGCCCAAGCACCCCATCACCCCATAATTAGCCACTGTCGAAAAGGCTATTTAAATGGGTCTAAGTCTGGGCTGGGGTCTCGGTCTCGGGGCCTTCTTCTTTCGTGGAGCGTAAAGAGTTTTACGCCTGTTACCTGTTACCGTTGGTTTCACACGAGCGCCGCTTTTGAGCACTTTCCCTCTCCATTAAACCCTGAATCTTCTTCTAAACCATCCAAACCGAATCGTCTGGTTTCTCAGCGACGAGATTTGCTCTTGGACAAAGACAGAACGCCCACCACCACCTCAGCAATCGCCGCCGGAGGTAAGCAGTCTGCCATTTCGCGGCTGGAGAACAAATACTCGGACATCTTGGAGCGAGCGGCCGGAAGGCGGCGCCATGAGGAGGATCGCGACAAAACGCTGGAGCCGGACGACTATGGCGCCAGTGGCAGTGGCAGTGGCGGACTGCTCCGCTCGGCCACAACCCACCAGCTGGGCAAGCCGAAGCTGTCCTCCAGCTCCTTTAACGCTGCGGATCGCAAGGAGCGCACTCCGTACCGAACTCGAGCTCAAAGGCAACGCTACATGGCCGAGTCCAACGACAGTGGCTATCTGACCAGCGGCAATCGGTTGCTGGACGAGAACTACCCCGTGGACTATGGCCAGCGATACGATTACCATGATGCCCTGCGTCTGGGCGGAGCCTCCGGCTATCCCTCCAGTCGCTATGGCCGAAGAGGCGGTGAAGACGAAGCCCTGTCGCCGCGCTCCACAAGGGCGTATGGCAGAACCAAAACCAACGAAAGCCTTCTGGCCGCCGAAATCCTGGACAACAGTCGAAATGCAGCCGGACCCGCTGAAGATCGTCCCCTGAACTCGAGGAGCCGCTTCGCCCATCGACGCAGGGAACAGCCACCGCCGGAACTTACGGCCGAAGAGCGGGAAATCCTCGCCGACGATCGCTCCTCCGAGGACAATGCCGCCATTCTGATGCTGCTGCGCGAGGACAACCAGTTTCTGGAGGCCAAGAAGTTTGAGGAGCGCATGCGCAAGCGTCGCGAGCTCAGGGATCGCGTCAAGCGCATGGAGGAGGCGGCGGAGGAGGCCAAGAAGACTGAAGCGGCAGTGGCGGCGGCCGAAGCAGAGGCCGCTGCCCTCGAGGAGGAGGCCAAAAGGGCCAAGGAGGCAGCTGCGGCAGCGGCAACTGCAGCGGCATCATTGGCAGCAGCAAAAGCGGAACCGTCGCCGCTTGAGGCGCCCAAGAAGAAGTCACGCAGCAAAAAAGTAACTAAAGATGGTAGCGATGGCAGTAGTGGCTCCTCCGAGAGCGCCTCGGGCAGTAGCTCCTCCGAGGAGGCGGAGTCAGAAACCGAGACCGATTCGGCTGCGCCGCCCGTTGTGCAACTAACCCACACAGCAGACAACACAGCCCCACAGACACAGATCCCACCTGTCAATGGCAGTACCACCCCCTCCAGTACAACCACCATCACCAGCACCACCTCCACCTCATCCACTAGTACTTCCGCTCTCTCTAACCACACAACGGCAGCAGCGACGGCACTCTCCTCCGCCGGCACCACCAACAAGAGCCGCTTTCTGCCCCACTCAGATCGCAACAACAATGACCTGGCCAAGTACAAGCCCAGCAGCCAGCTGATGCACTCATCCAGCTCCGGGGCCCTGGCTTTCGGCGGCATCGGAGCTCGACTGGCGGCTGCAGATGCGCGGCGTCAGCAGCAGCGGTATCAGGGCGCCAGTTCACGCACCGCCGCCGTGCTCAGCGAGTTTGATCGCTACAAGCCGGGCTCGGGATCGGGGGCGGGGGCGGGCTCCGGGTCGAGCTATCTCCACGACTCGTACAGCGGGAGTAGCAGGCGTTCCAATGCTTTGGGTGGCAGCTCGCTGTACCCTCAGAGATCGCAGCTAGATGCCTACCAGCAGCATTATCAGCAGCAGCAGCAGTCGTCGTCGTCGTCCTCCTACCTGCAGCAGCATGACCATTACCTGCTGGCCAAGAGCGCCACCTCGTCGGCACTGTTCAACAGGTCACGCATTCCAAAGACACTCTCGACCTTTGTAAGCAAAATGCCACCCCACCACCTCCTGGGGATGGATGATTCGTTAGCAGCTTGAGCTTTGTTGGCGCCGCCTCTTCTAACTGCAACTGCAAATGTCCATTGACCACAAAACCATCCAGCCCAACCAACCCCTTTCTCAAGACCCCCCATCTCCGGCCTACGCCCCCCAGACAGACAGTCGACAAACTACAGAAAAAGCTAACAGCACTGCGGATTGTATTCCATGTTGACTAACAGATACAATTGTTGATCTCCTGCCTGCGCGTTTTGCATGCGATTTTGACACTAAAACTAGGAAAATTATGTAAGATATCCTCTGACCATTGACTTTTTCAACAAAAAAACCTACTTTATATGTTCTTTTACCATTTTACATCCACAAAATATTACCAAAAACAAAAATGCCATTAATGTTATTACTAAGCGAAAAGCATTTCATTGTTTGTAGTTTTTTATTGCCCAAGATACAACAGCACAGCTATTGGTGCATTTCCTACACATAAATATATATATATAATACGTTATATATGCCATTTTCGATATATACCTATATGCCATTTATATATGATATTGTTTGTACATGTTTTGATATTAACCATTTTTGTAAACACAAATCTCAAAAATTTGTCCGAACTAATTTTCTTATCGAACAAACGAAACGTATTTTTCTCGTGTTTTTTCTGAATATGATGATGAAAATCACAATGATGATGATGATGGGTTGATGATGATGATGTACATACACACAACTTGATGGGGATGATGAAATGATGATGATGATGTTGGTTGGTTTACGGGCTATCTGCGGCTGACTTTTAAACGGAATGCGATTGCGTTCGGTGCCAACGTGGGATCGGGATCGTTCGGATGTGATGACCATTTGATTGCCCTGACCTGCCGATGGCCTCGACCCCTGGAACACCGATTGAACCCCCTGGAAAATATATAAATTTTTGTTTCTTTTTTCTCTTTCTTTTTTGTTTCTTTTTCTCTCTTTCAAATTACATACTTTTACCACACACGCACACACGCACCTTCTGTGTACGTCTGTAACTACTGCCATCAACAACAACAACAACCACGCCCCCCAACAATCTCGCTCACAATTTCTCCGCTCGCCGTTTCGCTCGCAACCGCCGCCCATCTTATTTCGCCAACGGATCGAATGCACCACCCGCAACGCAATCGCAATCGCAATCGTCGCCACCCACCGCAACCACCCACCCCACTCCCTGCAACATCGGCAACGGCAACTACTGCAAACTGCACACTGCAACCACCCTACTACGTCGTCGATCGCTCCGCTCCGCTCCAATCTGAACCGATCCGATCCGATCCCGATCGATTGCTCGAACAGACAGCAAAGCCCGTCATTCAAGATGATGCAGATGGTCACTTAATTTACCACACCGGAGACATTCTCCATCACAGATGTTCGTGACAATTTTTGGTTTTTAATTTTTCCATACTTATGTTTAGACAACAAATCAGAAAACTTTAAAAAAAAGCAAACAAAAAAAAAAAAAAAAAAAAAAAAGTGAAGAAAAAATAATGAGAGGCAAAAGCCACCAGTCACACACCACTTCTCTCTTCTTCTTATAACTCTATTTTTATTTACAAAAATATTTCCAAGTTTTCTTTATTATTTCTTAATTATCTCACAACAAGACCAAAATCGCGTCGCGTGCAATCAGGAAATTAAGACAATTTTGAACGAAAAAAAAAGAGAGAAGGATAAAACAACAATTGAAAATTTTCACACAATCTTCTTCGTCACTCTCGCGAAAATCGTTTCGACTTCCGAAATTTGTCTTTGACGACTCTAAGTTTAACTTTTCACCGGCCACAAAATTTTCCCCAACCACGAATTTCAACTGGGAAGTTTTCACACCATAAAACCGAACACGAACTTTGTCGCTATACTTAACGAAATAATATTGAAAATACAAACCTCTTTCCGTACACATTCAGCTTAGAGTCCAAATTAGTAATTTGCCCAGCCCTCATCAAATATTTAGTTGTAGCTACAGGTTTAGCATTAGAACCAGAAAAATAAAACAGACAGCTAACGTTTAACACTCTTGAAAGTCTTGCCCGAAACCCTACTACAACTTGCTATCCTTTTCCCGAATTTCAGATAAGATCATGGCCACACTGGGCGAGGGTACTTTCGGACGTGTGGTCAAGGTCAAAGACATGGAGCGGTAAGATCCTCTATTTGCAAATTTATTGAGGCCTTATATCTTAAATCTTTCAATTGTTTTAGTGATTACTGCATGGCCTTAAAGATCATTAAGAACGTGGAAAAGTACCGTGAAGCTGCCAAGCTAGAGATTAATGCCTTGGAAAAGATTGCCCAAAAGGATCCGCATTGCGATCAGTAAGCTTTCAAATCTACTTTCTCTAATTTCTGTGCTAAACATTATTCTAACCATTCCAGTTTGTGCGTGAAAATGATTGACTGGTTTGATTATCATGGACACATGTGTATAGTCTTTGAAATGTTGGGGCTTAGTGTTTTCGATTTTTTGGTAAGTACGGGGTTTGATTCTTAAATGGCTCTTGTTTATGTTAGTTTTTATTGAACTACTCTATTACAGCGTGAGAACAACTATGAGCCATACCCGCTGGACCAAGTGCGCCACATGGCCTACCAATTATGCTACTCTGTGAAATTTCTTCATGACAATCGTTTAACGCACACAGATCTCAAGCCGGAGAACATACTCTTCGTCGATTCGGATTATACTGCTCACTATAATCATAAGATTGTAAGTACGGCCAGAACAGTGGTGTAGTATCCATACTTATGCTCTTTTAACTCACAGAACCGCGAGGTGCGCCGCGTCAAGAACACGGACGTTCGTCTCATTGACTTTGGGTCGGCCACCTTCGACCACGAGCACCACAGCACAATTGTCTCGACGCGACATTATCGCGCGCCCGAGGTCATACTGGAGCTGGGGTGGTCACAGCCATGCGATGTTTGGTCGATTGGGTAAGAATTGGATTGCCGGATGGCCGGATTGCCGGATTGCCTTTTCATTTATGCACATATTAAATGATCGTTGAAATTTCACCAACAGCTGCATCTTGTTCGAACTATATCTGGGCATCACGCTCTTCCAAACGCACGACAACCGCGAGCACCTGGCCATGATGGAGCGAATCTTGGGGCAAATACCATATCGCATGGCACGGTAATACAATGCAGCTCATGCTTTTATTTCCCAAGGCGCAGTTCCCTTCACCGAAATCGTTTAACGTTTAGCAATCATACTCTTTATAGCAAAACCAAAACAAAGTACTTCTACCACGGTAAGTTGGATTGGGATGAGAAGTCCAGTGCCGGTCGCTACGTCCGCGATCACTGCAAGCCTTTGTTCCTGTGCCAGCTGAGCGACAGCGAGGACCACTGTGAGCTCTTCAGTCTGATCAAGAAGATGCTGGAGTACGAGCCCTCGTCCCGCATCACGTTAGGTAAGCAGATGCACCTCAGACTGGATGATCTTATTCAATGCTAATTAACCCCATCGTTTCGTTCCAGGTGAAGCCCTGCGCCATCCGTTCTTCGACAGGCTGCCACCGCACCATCGAGTGGGTGAGGTGAGCAACAAGCAGCCACTCTCGTCGGGCAGCAGCAGCCGCGAGCGCTCGCACAGCCTGTCCAGATGAGAATTACAGCGATTTGGTTATTGTTGACAGACGGCGCTTGTCAAGCACCCACTCATGCAAGCATACACTCAAAGCAGTCGTCCAGCAACGGATTGCACCAGCCTCGTAGGGTAGACCAGCAACTTTACGGCAGAACCCTATTTTAAGTGCTAAAGTCTTTTATTCTAAATTTTTTTGAACTTGACTTGTATAGATGTTTATTATACAAAAATCCATTGAACCCATATTGATCCAGTGTTTCCCAATATTTCGCGCACATGTTGCTGTGCATCATTTAGAGCTGTGTAGCGCTACGCTTGCGCTTTGTGCATTGTACCATACCCGCAAACGGTGTTTTGTTCTGTTATGATAACCAAATCGTGTATAATATTGATAGTGCGGTGCGTCCTCCCAGCACTTGAATCTATTTGTAAATGTCCTGACTTGTGCACACCACCCACATCCACATCCCGAGGTAGAGGAGACAAAATGAACCGACTGCAAGAACCGATTAATGGAATATACAAATGTAGTTGTAAAATAAGAAAGTCGCTCGCTCGCACGCTAGTTGAAATGCATCCCCATATGTACACTGTCATTGCAATGGCAGCCGACTAATTTGTAATTAATACACCATTTCGAGAGCGTGAACTGTAAGCTAATGCAAGCCATTATGTACACCGCCCACGAGTGTACGGATAATTGTAAATGTAAGGAGCAATTGTTATGCCGCCCTGTGTACACTTCAGCGATCGCAGCGCATTTTGTGTAAATTCAGTAGCAGCCCAGAGTCATCTCTCTTAGAATACGTTTTGAAATGTGTAGACCCATCGCCGGCCTGTTTTGTTCGTTTTCGTTTTTTAATCGAATATCGAAAGATCAACCCATTCACACATTGCTACACACATACCCACATCGTATGAGCCCCATAGTATATTTAAATATACTATACATACTTAATTCAAATGATTGTGAGTTAGTTTAATATTACATAAATATTAATTATAAATTACATTATTTGCAATTTAACCCGATCAACCAGCATATAAGATAAAAAAAAACAATATTGTCAAGTTATTAAAAATTGAAATAAATCTTAAATAAAAAAGAATTTACCTTGTTTTTGATTTGAAAGAGTATCAGCCAAGATAATAGCTTTTTAAGTGCTTTTGCAAATATTTTTCTGGGCATAGAGAGGGAGATGGAGTAACATCATGAAAAAATATTTTAACAAAAGGCAATGTGATTCTATTAAGTATTGTAGCATATAATATTGGAGTTAAATCTAATTTCTGTAGCTTAAAATTTATGGAATACTTTTGGGGTTCCGTTCGGACAAAAAAAAATGGGACAGTGATGCTCATCTGAGAATATTGAGCATTGGACAACTGTGTTCTTTATTTATTTAATTTTTGTAAAACCTGTAGGGATGCATAATTACTTATTAATATTATTATCAAAAACCCAAAAATCTTAGCCACTTGAATTTAAAAGTAAAGAAAATAATGAAATTCAAATTATTTCTTTATTTTTGTCCAATAGTATGGTATTAAAAATGTGACAGATGGATGCGAGGTGTTGTTGCTGGATTTCCGATTTCACGAATACAAACCTAAGTAAGTTTTTTTTTTAAGAAATAACTAAAATTTTTTTTACTTGCTAAAACCTATCTTTAACTAACAGCACCTAAGCTAATTGTAATTTCACGGCTTGGTATATGCACGTTAAAGCTCTGTGGGGCGTTTACATTTAGTCATCATGATGAACCTTTGCTGGCCGATTTTCTTTCTCGGAGTGGCGACTGCTGTAGACATGCATTTTGCCACATCGACACGTGAAATGGCACCCCTGGTACAAGTAGAGGACGAATTAATAGGATACATGCGTCAGTATGCGAGGGAATTGCAGCTCAAAGTAAACAAAATGAGGATGTTGGTTATTTGCTCACAATACTTAAAATAACTTTAAACAAGCATCCATTTTTATAGTTTCCAAAAAGAGTGGGCCACCAGAAGACAGCAAGGGCCTGCAGATCCCACCAGCTATGTGGCCAATCCCCTGATAAGTTTTCCTCTAATGCGACGAATGTACACAGATGCTCCAAAGTTGCTAGAGTTTGCTAGAGAAGAGATAGGCCTGGGTAAGTTCTTATGTACTTAAACTATGTTATCAAAAAACTAATTTAAGCTGAAAACCTATTTAATTTTTCAAATTTAGTGTGTATATTTTATAAATTAACAATATTTTCTGGCAGGCCCCCTTCAAAAGTTTTTGGACAGTGACTTATCTAGTATTTCAGCACTGGATATTAAAATGGCTGCAACCGGTTTTATGCGCTTTCGGGACGTTTACGGTCTAGATGAAAGCGAAGTGGCCAATGGAAAACTATATGGTATACAATACAAGTGAGTTTTATAAAATAAAATCCTATCAAATTATCCAGTTTTCATCCATAAATAGCTCTAGGCTGAGTGCGGCAGATTGCCTCGCTTTGGGCACTCATTGGGAGAGTCTGCAGAAAGGTAAACTGGCGTGCAAATGGCTAAGACTTGCTCTTGAGCAGTATGAAGATCACATGGATCCTGTAAACAGGTTACTTCAATCAAGTCGTTCTCAAATCTATGAAAAACTAGGACTAACTTTGCTTTCTATGCGTAAGTCAATAGAAAAACAATGCCACTCTTTAACGTTAAAGTTGTTAATTTTTGTAGATGACTTGCCAGCCAGTCAATCTGCCCTAAGGAAGTCAATAGAGTGGGCTTCCAAGGATGATAGTACTAGTCTGGCCAATCATTTGGTCGATAACTTAACTCACATGCTTGTGCATGTGGACAACTGTCGTGGAAAGAACCCCCTTCCGAGGAACTCTGCTCTTCGTTGTCGTTACTTTTCAGAAGGCTCACCATTTCTACGCCTAGCCCCTTTGAAACTTGAACACCTTAACCTCGACCCTTTCATTGGCCTCTATCACGATGTTGTGTCGAAAGAAGAGCAGCAGGATTTAATGTATCTTACACGATCGAGGTTAGAGCACAGACAGGTAGATCGCTCTAGCGCTGAGGCCGAAGTAGCGGCAAATGCCTCTGATCATGTGAAGCGACTTCACCGAAGGATTGAGGATATGACTGGTCTTGATTTAAAAGATAGCGAGCCGCTAACAGTCTCTAATTATGGCATTGGAGGCCAGCAACTTATCCACATGGACTGCGAGCAGCCCAAGGTAAGTATAGTTTATAATCTAGGCAATCTGCTTAATGTACAAAATATATTTTCCTAGGAGTTTATTGAACCTTTCACCAAAGAATATCGCACCGCCACTGTGCAGCTCTATGTAAGTTTTGTTATCTCTTACCTTTACCATTAAAACAAAATACCAGATAATGAATTTAAAATTATTTCTTAAAATGGTGGGTTTTCATATCCAACAAAAATAAAATGTTAGCAGAACGAGATAAAAAGCTTGAAATCACAATCATTTAGTATTAGACGTAAATAATAAACGTGTCTGTTTTAGCAATAGCCAGTTTTCACTAGCTGCTGGCAATTAAATTAATAAAAAATTTAAATTTTCCCAGCTAAGTGATGTGGAGATGGGCGGTTATGCTTCTTTTCCCGATCTGAACATTGGCCTTAAACCAAAAAGTGGCTCTGCATTGGTTTGGCACAACATCGACAACTCTGGGAATTGCGACATTCGAAGTTTAAATGCCATCTGCCCGGTGCTCCTTGGAACGCAGTGGGGTAAGTCATTAAAGTCCCTCATCGATTCTTTTCTCCTCTACTTACCATCCGGAAAACAGTGGCCAGAAAAAGGATCAGTGGGTCAGGCCAGTGGCGCAGGAAACCCTGTCGGATGTGAAGGAAAAGCGGTTTTCCATTCAGTTTTTTTTTCCACTTTTGCGATAATTTATTCAATAATTTTGTCGTTATTTATATTATGATAATAAATTTTATGCACTATTTTATAGTATTCATATTTAATTTATATGCAATGTAACATTATTTGGGGCAGGGAAAATGGTAGGGCTTGGCATCCAATTGTCCACTTTTGATATCCTCGTTAGATTTATTAGTGGGCGGGCAGCGGGGAGTGGATTGTGGGCAGTGGGAGTTGGCAAAGGGTTGGGGGGGCTGCGCGGGTGGGAACAACGCGTTTCCTGATACGTATGCAAATGATATTTGAGGCAGCGGGAGGCGCCTCCGGCAATATGTATGTGGCGTGGGCGGCCGGGGTCCAATAAGTGGGAGATGGTATGGGTATGGTATGGTAGTCGGAGCCGGAAACGGAAACGAACAACAAGGACGCAGGCGATAGAACGAGATGTCGATGTCGGTGTCCGAGGGAATCTGTAGGAATACTTGATTGCCGGCTCTGCTTCTCTCAGTTTTGATATCACGCTCCCCCGGCTCTCAGTTTCAGCCTCATCCACAGAAGCAGCAGCATGGCGAGCAGGGGCTGCCACGTCCTCCGGTTGCTCCTGGCCGAATTTCGAGCCGCCTCCTCGAGACCTGTGGTATGGATATAGAGAATAGTACAACATAGCTTATAGTACATTCCATTCTTTTCTTTTAAATACTTTAATAATTCACAATTCGTTTGCATTAGGGTTTTTCCCGCCATAAAACTCACCTCCGATGTAGTTCAGATGATCATCGTTGCTGGCGGAGGCGCCCGGATGAAGCTTGATTTCTGCAATACAAAACCCAAGCGCCAGAGAACAAAAAAAAAAAAAAAATGGACAAACAAAACAAATTAAAACCTGCGAGAGATGGCAGAACAGAGATTGCGTATACGCACCGTATAACCGCAATGTGCCCTCGGCACGGCCCAGCGAGTTTGTGCTGACGCAGTGATAGGTGCCCACATCGGAGGGCGAGAAGGAACGCACCACCAGCAGCATGACGCCCCGATAGCCATCGCGCCGCTCCGTTATCCCGTACTTGGGCCTGCATTGGATATGGGTCCAAAATGGCAGCGAAATGACAAGAAGGGACGGGTAGGAATGGAATGGAATGGTTTCGAGATGGATATGTATCACTGATGTCTGGCGGCCGGAATTCCCCGAACTTACCCGTCGAGCAGCATTTCGGGGCCCGGCGAGCCGGACTCCAGGCTGGCCGTGGATACGCTGGCGAAACCGTTGGACGTCCGCGCTCCCTTCAGCCAGTAGGAGACGGGCGAGGGCGAGGCCTCCACCTGGCATTCCAGCTGCACATCGGAGCCCAGGGGCGTGCCCAGCAGTTGGCTGGGGGCCCTCACCATCGGAGCAACTGTGGAGTCGAATGGTGAGTGCGTGATTGAGTTGAAATTTCATTGATTTCAGAACAAAAGCATAATTAAATGTATTTGTTTTTATTATTTTCGTGAAAATATTCACTGGTTCAGCACACAGACTTTAAAATTGTTTAAATCTTTAATCCTCTTTTAACAAAAAAAAAGTGAATAAAAGTTAACGAATTTTAAATTAAAATTGTTCACTTATTGAACAAAAAAGCCTATCTTACAACCGTATCGTGAACTTAGTTCTAGTTATTTGTCTCTATGGATGCCTTTCCTTTTAAGCTTATATTTTTTTAATCAAGTAAATATTTGATAACTCACATTGCACACTCAGCGAAACTCGTTTGCTGACAGCAGGTGGAACATCGTTGGAGGCTATGCATAAGTAAGCGCCCATCTGACGCCTTTCCAGACGAAGCAGCCTCAGCGAGGATCCATTGTAGGATTCCACTATACAAACGGAAATGATAGAAAACTCTTTTAGCCTTTTTGTTAATTATATAGCAGGTAATGTACGACTACCTTTCATGAGCTCTCGACTGCCTGGCTTGCGTATGAGAATCATTTCGCCATCTTCCCGGCGCCAGATGACTCGCGGCTGGGGATTCCCCGTTGCCTTGCAGGTCAGAGTGGCATCCTCGCCTTCCTGCACGGCCAGATCGGCGGAGGACTCCTCGTTTATGATATCCGGTGGCACTATTTAAGTAATATGGGTATCATAAGTTAAAGAACTATCAAAGTAAATATGACTTACCTTGCACATCGATGCAGCCCACTTGTTTCTTCATAGGACTCGTGTTTATTTGGCACATATAACAGCCCCGATCACTTTCACGCAGTTTGCTGATCTTTAGTTTCCAACTGATTGAGTAGAAAGTTACCCTTATGTTAAAACAAACTATATAAGCTTTTTGTTTAAACTTACGTGTGCATATCCTGGTGCATGACGCTGATTCTCGCATTGTGGGTGACCACGCGACCTTGAAGAGCCAATACCGTCTGATCGGATGCTCTCAGCCAGCCCACCTGTTGTAAGCAAAGTGTTTGTTTTATAAAATATTTTTCTTTTTTTAATTCAGTTTTGATTTTTAAAGTTCCGGTTATCGGCTTGTGAAACATCCATAGCTCACCTTATTCTTGCCCAGATTCCGCACAGAGCAGGCCAGGATGGCCTCGCGTCCTGCCGGATATGTGACGTTGTTGATGAACCCTATGAACTCCGGATCGGGATCCAGCTGGGAATTGCTCTCTGGGAATGGAATGCCATCGGCTGTAGTAGGGGAACCCCCTGCTCGCAATTAAATTGCCCCCTGCACACTTACCGTGATGCTGGTTCTGGGTCGAGCCACTGCCGCATTTTGTGACCATTATCAGGATGACAAACAGCGTCGATTGCAGCAGCTTCTCCATATTGTTGTTATTTGTGCTGTTGTTTGTTGTTGTCGTTGTTGGCGGAGTGGTTGTTGTTGTTGCTGCTCTGAAACTGCTGTTGCGGTTCTTTTATTTGCTGCAGCAGCTGCTTCTCTTGGCACTCTTTGTTTTCCTATTATTTTATGGGTATTTTAGTTGCTAGTTTTTTTTTGTGGGGGTCTCGTGGCAATTTCTATTTCTATTTGCATTTGCATTTGAATTTGAATTTGAATGCGAATTCCTATTTCAATTCCGATTCCGATTGCGAATTCTATTTACCGCGTGTTTGTGCCAATTGGGCTTTGATTTTCAGCTGGTACGCTTCACGTCCCACTGCCACGCCCATTGACATCTGCAAGTAAACAAGAAACGAGAGCAAAACATCAGCATCACAGTTCCAGTTTGAAGCGGAATCATCGGTTTAAATTTATATCGCGATAAAGCGAAAAAAGCGAAGAATCAAGCACAAAAGGCTGTTCAATTTGAGTGCTCCAAAACGGGGGAGGGTGGTGGAGGGGGTGGTCTGCATTGGGCGGTGGGCGCTAAAGGGTGGGAGGGGGAAGGACCGCCCATCGCTAACTTGATTATCAAGCGTTGCAACAAATTTGACGTTGCCTGCTTTTAGGGGCATCCAATATGGCTGCCGGGTAAGCTCGATCTCACCAACACAGCTATGAAGTACACTGAAGAAAATCGAAATTTGAATTTAAAAAATAGAATTAGGAAGCCACATAATATATAGCTAGATTCCTATCAGCTTAAATTTATATTATTCACAGATCAATGTGCAGCTTTAAAAATTGCAGTTATTAATTTAACATAGTTCTTATATAATTTAATAAATCTGAAAGATAATACATATTCATTCGCACTTTATTTGTTTCAGTGCACGACCCCCTTTTGCCACCAATTTGGAAACCCCGGCTCAGCCCCGACACAAAGTAAAAGGCAAATGCAATTTTCAACACAAACAAAAATTTATGGCTCGGCAGCATCCTTGGTCCATCCAGCAGTCAGGATGCTGCAGGATGCAGAAGTTGCAATAAAAGAAGGCTCCGCGATTTTGGGTGGGCGTGAAAAAAACGGTTTAAAAGGCGAAAGGTGCAAAATATGAATGTAAATATTAAAAAAGTTTCGAGGCGTACAAACTAACGAGGTGTTCGCTCATTTTCCGTGGCAAACCCACCGAACCCGCCACAAACTCTGATCTCAACCACCAGCTCCACCACCCTTTGAGTCAGCTTCTCCAGCGTCTCCTGCTCCTTCTGCTCCTCCAGCGCCGTCTGCCCCCCGACAACCCATATCCTGCCCACCTGCCGCATCGGCATGCGCTGTAATTTAATTCCAGTGTGAAATTGAGCGCTCTCCTAATAGTGAATTTGCACTAAACCAGTTAGCAAGTCGCCGGGGCGATGTCTTGCAAACTTCTGACGAGGTGTCAATGCGATGCCACGCGAACTGGGAACTGGAACACCCAGTGATGGGGCTTGCTTCCGGGATCCGCCTTCTCCGTCTCACAACTCACAACTCCCAACTTCGTCGAAGTTCGGCTTGGCGCGACATTCAAAAAGCGGAAATGTGATTTACTTATTAAATTAGAGTTTCAGAATGTTGCAAGAGGGGGAGTTTTCTTGGCGTGGGATGTGGGATGCACTCGAGCTTGCAGCAGGTAAAACTTGCCACGGGGTTTGAGGGTCGTTAAGAGACAAAGGGTTTGGGGAATCAATCTGCCTTTCAGCTAAGTGGATTAACTTACGGTTATTAAATTTAATTGTGTCCCCAGTCCGTTGTTCTACCTGCATTGTTATTTCTTTTGCATGGACACTTCGATGGCATGAGTTTTTAGCCATCTGAATTGATTTTCTAAATTTACATATCAGGCCTAAAATCTATGCAGATTTATTGACTTCCCTTACAACTAAATGCTATTAAATTTGAATTAATAACTGCACATGTCAGCATTTCCTGTTCCAAATGTACACTTCCTTTTTAGGTTGGTTTTGTTTTATGAAAAGTCAAATAATTTTGGTGAATTATCGAAGCAAAATACTTTAATTTGCGTGAAAATTACTCTCACAAATATAAAAAAAGGATTTACGTTTACAATGGATTTATTGTGTACCATCTAGAGGTAGACGTAAACGTGAATATAGGAATTCTTAAATTATTAAATACAAACTGATCTTGTTTGTCGCGTTTCCTTAATTTCATAAAATGTAATTGATAATTAGTTAATAATTGAAATATTATAAATAATTGAACAATTAA